TGCAGCAGGTTATAAAAACAGCACAGGACATTGTTGCAATTGATCTGCCATTACTTGAACACCTTCATAACACTCGCTGTTTGACAAGGGCCAATAACATCATCAAGGACATCACTCACCCTTGTCAAAACTTGTTTCAGCTCCTCCCATCCAGCAGGCGCTTTTGGTCAATCTGTTTACGCACAAACAGAGTAAAAAACTGTTGTTTTTTTCCCCAGACAATTTCTCCCTGTTTGACCATGTACGTATAATAAGGTTGTTGGCAATGTGTGACTCACTGTTCAAGTGCAATAATAATTCATGCTGCTATACACTTGTGCAATACTAATAGTGTTGGTACCCTTGCATTAACAATGGATATGGAATTTTGACAATATTCTGAGCAATTTTGAATTATTTTGTATTGTGATTCAGTTTCCTAGCTTTTATATTGTTTTATATGTTATGCTAATTATTTATATTTATTAACTATTTCATCTTGAATTTATTTATTAATTTGTATCTTAGTACATGTATTGTTGACTACTTGTGCTGTTTTATTTTAAATGGATAATTTTCTAAATGCACATTTGGGGTTGTCACAAGAGTAATTTCATTGTGCTACACAATGACAATAAAGTACTTGAATTGAACTTGAATTGAATGAATCAATTCAAGTGGAACATTGTATTATTCAATGTGCGTCCTAAAACAGCCGATTCATTAAATAGGCTCAGTGTCTTGGACGTCCTACAAGACAGTCCATTGTGCATGAGCAGGTCATCAATTCATATATACATAGTTTTCTTTAATTGTTTCAACATTTTTTTGATTGGTTGGTTATATAGCCTACAAGTTAAATGAACTGCTTTTATTATACCTTCATGATGCTTTTAGTAGAAAGTTTGAAGTTTAAAGCATCATCCACTTTTGTTGTACGTAACAGAGCAGCTTGGAAATGTTTACTTACATCTCATTCTTTGTTACATTAGGGGGTCAGAAGAATGACATGACAAATAATGGACTTTCATTTTTGGGCAAACTATTGCTTTAAAAAGTTTATAGATTTAAGTTGCCTAGTACTTTTTAAAAGACCTCTTAACCACCCTGTCATATCTCCTTGTCCTGTGTGGACTGATATTTAGGAGGATCTTGACTTGTGCAACTCCCCCGATGGCCCTCTACGGGTAATTGAATTTCTTTCAGGATCACCACGCTGCCACCAAAAACAAAACCCACGAGAACAGCACTACATCATGTCCTATCAAACATGTCTTTTACTTCACCCGGTTGTGCTTCTTATCAAGCGTGTGTTGTTTGCTTATTTATTTACTCTTTCAGAAAGAAAGAGCGTTGTGCCCAAGCAGGCCTGAGATTGGAGCACTGGTGGATGACGAGGGGTGAGCGGGTGCAGAGTTAGACCTAAGCCTCATTGATCAAATGATGGAGAGCTCAAGAGTTCTCAAAGATGGAGGGGTAACCAGCCTTTGGGCAGTTACATAATGAATGGAAAGCATCTTTTTGACCACAGGCCGGACTGGTGCACTTTAAAGAAGGTGTTTGAAGAATACAACACAAATGAGAAATGCTCAACGTGGTGGCTTTATACAAGCTTTGAGAATTAACCCGGTAGCACTTTATTTGACAGTACTGTTCCCCGTGTACACACTATGTACTTATTGTAGTAATTACAATAACTGGGTAAAAAGTGCAAACCCTGAACCTACCCCTAAACCTAACCTTAACCCATGTAGTTACCTTATATTACCCAGTACTTTCTTACTTTACTTTCTACCCAGTACACATTAGTGCACATACTGTAAAATAAAGGGCAAGCGTTATTTATTAGTGCCAATTACTTACTGTAAATTTGTTTACGGATTGATCTGCAAGAGGTGGTAGCAACTAAAGAGTTCACAATGCCATATTGAGTATAAAGACAAATTTACTGAGTGAATAGCCAGTTGACTCATTGCTGTGAACAGACTGAGAGGGCCTTGAGTGTTTGGGAGACCTGTTTGGAAACAATCACTAACATTCAGGGCTCTGGGCTGTAGCCCATACTTCCCAATGAAAGTCAGTAGAATATGCTGACTGTATCATGCACTGATCTCTTCTGCACTTTAATAACTACTCATGAAAGTTATTTTCTGTTTACTATTGATTCTCTCTTAATGGTCATTTCGAATGATTAAAGAGTATATGTGCGACTGCTCTTCTGAGGCCCTGTAAAGTACTGGCTGAAGCACACTGTTCGTTACATTCCACAAAGCCTACAATGACCTGTAATAGATATTAACCAGCCAGCAGTTTTATAGTCCAAAACAGACTCCCTGTACTCCCTCTCTAATTTATCTTCTTATTAATTAGCCTGGTTCGGAAGGTAGAGAGAATAATCAGTGTCATAGCACAATCAAAGAAATCTGTCCAGTTTACTTTTTGGACTGCGATGTGTGGTCCAGATGGAGATAGAAATACAAACTTTCATAAAGTTTAGAAAGTGTTTAAAGTTTTTTAGCTCTTAGGATGAATGTGTTAGCCTTAAAGGCTTTTTCGACTTGAACCAGTGCTGCACAGACCGATCGGTTTATGACATCAAAGTAACGCGAGAGCGATTGAAAGGCATGCGGAGCCGTCTGCTCTCTTATCGCTCTCGCGGTATTTTGACGTCATTCACCGATCGGTCTGTGCAGCGCCGGTTCAAGTCGAACAAGCCTTAAGTCAACACAAGCTGCGCGTTTCAAGGCACTTCAGTGGGCCTTTAAGTATGGAAGGGATTTGTAGATAAACTGACTGCCCTGGCTTTGTAAGGCTATGAAGTCAATATTCTGTAACATTTGACACCTGGATATAGTTGTAGTAGAATTAACTGATAACTGACTGTTTTTTGTTTTGCACTAGTTTGCACTAGTTTGCACTATGTCAAGTTTGTTTTCAACAATGATTATAAAATGTATTGCTGTAGTAGAAAGTAAGTAGTCTCGTAATCTCATCACAAGAATAAATGACCATAGTTGTGACTAATTACAATTCCACATTGAAATGGATTCATTGGCTCTTTCAAATAAAAGTTAAATAAACTTCACAAAAATAATACATTGATTTGTCATGATACTATAAAAGTCCAAGTTAAATTATAAGGATTAAAAATGATTGTAATATACATATTGTAGTGTAATTGAGTATAAAAGTGTAATTAATTTTAAGTATTATTTTTAATGATACAAACTATGATCAAACTAAGTATTTTAATTTATTCCAACAAAACTGATATTTATAGCTTAAATCAATTATAAATACTCTTTATAGTTACAACTGCAGTTTACCACTTTTTTTACAGTGTATGACTTTATCAGTATGTCTTTATCAGTTTCTAAGCTATAAGTCGCTCCAGGTGTGATAATATGTAATTTTTAAAAAAGAAAGAAAGAAAAGTGGCCAAGACTAAAATAGAGACTCTGAGATCCAAAAAAGACCATAATATTTATATGCAAATTATTTTTTTGCCATAATGCATCTTTCACCAGCAACAGCCATTCAATATCTGTGCATTCTGATTGAATAAAAGAGTTTGAGCAACCAATGTATGTCCAACTGCAAATATATCCTTCAATAGCATTTGATGTTGTTTTAACAGTGCCCATATTGACAAGAGAGACTTTTGTCTGTTTTTTTTACATTTTGGGGTCCTGCAAATGCAAACTTTTGAAAACGATACTGTTATAAACTACAAATTTTTTTTTGAAAACGGTGACGTCATGTACATGCACATTACGTGTTCAGTCTATATGGTGTTTCTTTACAAAGTGACATCGCCAACTGGCCTGGCTTGTATAATACAGCATTTTATTCGTTTTCATCGATCTGTGTGAACGGGGATCGTTTTGTCAATGTTGTCATCTGTACACGAAAAATGCAAAGGAAAACCGATTCCGTTTTTAGTAAAGCTTTGTTGTGTAAATGTACCCTAAATGTATGTGCTTATATAAATAATGCGTATGGTAAAGAAACCTACGGTTCTTGATCCCAAAATTAGCTTAGACAAGCAGTGCTCTATAAACAAATGATCTGTGTCAGCAAAATCTTTGCAGTTGTGTGTAATGAAGGATGATTAGAATAAGCAAACAACTAAAGTAAAACTAATTAAGGTGGATCATTTTGTAAAAGGCAGAATTTTTTTTGAAAGCGAACATTATGTACATTAACTACTGCAGTGCAACATTAGGAGTATAATTTAAATCATGGCAAGCATGGCCCTCAAGGTCCAGTTTCCTGCAGAGTTTTGCTCCAACCCTAATCAAACACACCTGAAGCTAATCAAGGTCTTCATCAGTACCTGAAAGCAAAGCCACGTGAAGGCAAGCCTGCAACCTTAGCCTAAAAAAGTATAACACCTACTAACGCTGCGGTACACAGGGAAGGAGACAAGAGGCCCTTTTTGTAATGGATGTCAACGGTGGAGAGGCTTCACTAGGCTGAATAAACCGCTTTTGTGAGGAAATAACTCATCATTAGTAGTAGTAGTAGTAGCCTTTATTGTCACTTAGTCATAAGTACCAGTGAAATTAGCCATCAACATTAAATGAATCAACAGCCTTTGGCTATTTGCTGATAAACTTTTGCTTCTGATTGATCTATTCTGTTTTATAAGAGAAGTCACAGACAATTGCGCGACAGGTATGATTTCAGTTTACGACTATGGTATCTGCAAACAGTGATTGACTGTCGCACAACTATGAACGAAATTCAATGACGTCAATGCTGCAATGTGATTGGTTTTCAAGGCACACGTGATCCAAGTTAGCTTTACTCTTTCTCCAATGGTAGAGCCACAGACCCTTGTATGTCCCAATAATAAGACCATCTCTGCTTGAAAGGTACAGTTGGTGCTAAACCTGGTCTAAGATATTCCAAAGTTGAGATAAAGCCAGTATCACATATGCTTAAGTTGTTCAGTCATATTCTGGCACTGCAGTATATTTGCAAAGGCCCTTGACGGAAAATTCTACTTTTGTTTGCAGAACGGCCCTTATCCACAAACTCAGGGAATCCGACCGCCGCCCCCAAATACTGGAACTTTTCTTGGATAGCAGAGGAAGAGTTAACTTTCCCTGAGGATCCTGTATCAACTTCAGGTAAGTCGCCTGGCATCAGTATCATAAAGCTTCCTGAACTCTGCGGTCAGAAACAAAAGCAGCCTCTTCTAGGATGTGATGCATGCAGGCAGTTGGTTGTCAGTGTGCATAAAAGTCTGTTTCTCATTCCCAACACGCTCTCATAGCTTTTGACGGCCTGGTCTTGAACTTGCAGTAAGCGTCACGCTGTAAGGATTACAAATGATGTAACAAGCCACAACTAAAAGGATGTTTTAAAGATATAGCTCAGAAAATCTGTCAGGCTCAAGTATTCATAATCTACCGTTAAGAGACATTCAATGCTTTTCTATCTTGGTTAAGTGCATCGCTGTTGAGAATGTTCCAAAGTGCCATTTACAATAAATGTATTCCTTGCACGGCAGTATATGATCATACTTAAAGTTGTGTAGATGACTAGTAGATGTCATTAAGGAAAGAAGTATAGTGGTTGAATAAGTTATTGGAATATTATTAAGAACATTATAGGTGTGTAAAATAAGCATGAAGTACAAATGTTTAAATCCAAACCCTATTCTACACAATAAATTGTTGTGTCAGGTAAATTACAAGATTAACAACTGACCATATATACTTTAAGCTAGAACACACAACACTAAAAAACTATATGAATGCACAGGGGTTCAGGGATTCTAACTATAATTGTTACTATAACCAAAATGTGTTTATTATTAAACACACTGACCATTTAGCACTGTTGTCATGGGCATAGCAGGGCCGAGGAGAGGTGAAGATCTTTTAGCAGACAGTCTTTAATCCATGAACACACAAACACTAATGTCTGCTACAGGCTGTGCGATTTCAAAATCACACTTCATAGACTACGACTCAAGTTAGTATAGAAGAATAATCAGCATGCGCTTGTGGTAAACAAATAGAGGAAGACGAATTGTGTTTTTTTATCTGCACTGAAAGAAAAAGGAGCAAAACCGGGAAAATATGGATGCGGTCAGGGAAAAGAGGCCAAATGGATCTTGAGGTAAGTAGTTTTAAGTTTTAGCGCCCTGTCGCGTTGATCAATAGTACTGGGGGTTCTGTCCAAATCAACTTCCCTTGTCCACTTGACAAAGTTTAACACACTTCAAAATGGCTGTGGGGATTTCCCCGAGGGGTAGTGCTTAAGGAGGTTTGTAAGTGTATGTCTAAAAGTGGAGTTAAACGCAGCCTAACAAGACAGCAATCGAAACAGGAATTAAATACACAGTAAATTAAAACAGGCACAGTAAGACAAAATAATCTAAAAATAAAAAGTCCATTAATATTGAACACAGAGGAATCATGACAACTGTCACCTTCCACCAAGAAGATACCCAGTTCGAGTCCCGGCTCAGTTGGCCTTTCCGTGTGTGGTGCATGTTCGCCCCATGTTGGTGTGTTTTTTTCTTCCGGGTACTCTGGTTCATGTTAGCTAATGCTAACGTTAACAAATAAGTCCTTATTGTAAAGTGTTACCAAATAATTATGGTAAATAATCACTCCCAAAAGCCAAACGATTTTGTCTTTAAAATATATTTTTACTATGTAGTGACCTTTATTTCGCAGCCTAAAACCCAGGATTGGCACAAACTAAACTGAAACCTAATGACTTTATGATATAGGGCCCAATGTCAGGTGAAATTTTAGATTCTTAATATATGCATGTCTGTAAATGAGACTGGCTATTCATCCATGATGTTTCCCCCTCTTCGTCCTGAAACGCTTCAGCATTCCTACAACCCTACAGTGGACAAGCTGTTTGAATGATTGTTGGACTTTAATTTTGGGCCCTTCTAATTTCAACCTCAACCCCTATTAATCAATGTGACTCCTTTCCGGTGCAGTATATAATCCCGACTTTTTATGATCAAGCCCTGCCATATATTTGTTCTCATTAAATGTACTCTTTCTCTCTGAAATATGTCATCTTATATAAGCAACATTTCCTAAATATAACATACCAAGTAGAACATTTTTAATATTATTGTATTAAAATATGATAAGCAAGTGCTGGAGAATTGTTAAAAACCTGTTTGCACATTTGTTTCTAAATCCACATATCACCTTTGAGAGCTTCAATAAAACTCTTTTGGGCCTTGTTCAGATCACCGAGAGACGGTGAAGGGCCTTGTCAGTTATCCCATATGGCTCAAAAAAACAATGAAAGTCTCTCAACAGCCACAGTTTATGTCAGAGGTCAGAATGTCTGCCATAATTTTGCTGTGCTGTTGCCAAGAGCTGTCACAAACGTCTGTTTATGCAACACTTCTCTTCCGCCATATAGCCCTCAAATCTCATTCCCTCTCGTGTCCAATTCAGGGTGATTGACGTGTGGAGATTGAGACTGGAGTGGCTGTAGCTTGAGCCCTTATGCCTGGGTAATTAGTGTCCCTTCACTGGCCGTGCTTTCCTTGATTTATGTTTGGCGCCGGGAAGCTGACAACGTCCGCCATCCATCGACATGATTTAGACGACGGGGTGGTCTAGATTTTTAGGGTCTGAGTAAAACAGCAGTTCTTCTTTGTCATCACATTCACGCATTCAAAATGCATGTTTCAGTAACATCACACCGTCCAATATTCACAAAAAGAAAGCCTCCCGAGGGTACACATGTCTTGAATGTTGGTTTATGGAGCCTGACATTGCCAGCTTTGATCTAATCTGTGAAGCAAAGCAGCCGCTCGGTTTTGGGTTCACAAATGAACACAGTGGTGCTCTGATGTCACAACGATGTCACTGCTTCCAGTCTCCCCGCTGCTCAAAAAAATCACCTCAATCTTCACGCTGAAATCATTTTGATTTGACCTAGATAGCTGAGCACAGCATGGCTCCAACTGTAATGGGGTGTGCAAAGCTCCAATCTCCTCCTGGCTGCAGAAATTTGCAAATTAATTCAGATAAGGCCGGTGGGAGACTCCGACACATCGTCTCAGCCGAGCTCTATATTTTCAAGCGGGCAAGACTTTGATGAAGGTGAATGACCCACACCACTACTGGTGACCTGATAGATTGCAATCTTTCCACAGCATCTGTTGCATGCTGGTGTTTATTACACCCAGTAAAAGTGAGTCCGAGGGGGGCTTGGCTGAACACTGCCATCACCCAGAACTCCCAGCACTCCAAAATCGAGATTGATCCCCCACTCCACTGCCATGACACCAGGACTAATAGTCTCTCTTGTTTTGCCGTGGTTCTCTGCCAAAACAAGCCCCTGGCACAGCTGCCATTTACGTGTGCCAGGAGACTGGCGGCTTTTGTCTGGCGGAGAGAGGGCTGTGAATAAGATAAAACAAAAGGCCATTTTATAACACCTGAGGTCAGTAGTTACATTCTGGAACAACCAGGTGTTTCATGGGTTGGCTGGCATGTTTGTTGTTTTGCATTTGGTTGAGACTGAGTGGTACAATCATCAAAACATGAACATATAAATGCATTCTCAGCCAGTTTGGTTAGCAAAAAATATTAGTACAAAGCTGAATGGTCAGGTCTTTTTAGGGAAGATACTCAAGGCTTGGTTTGTAGAATTGGATAAAGAACCTTTTTTAAAGGATACCCCACCTCATTCACCTCCAGTGTTTTCTACAGCTGCGTATAAGACTTTTGTCAAATTTTGGACCATCCCTCACCATAAATCAAGTTCAGTGTAACAATATTTCTGGGTTGTCTTGATAGCACAGCCCTCTTTAGGTTATGCCACAGCATCTCAACTGGCTAAAGGTCAGCACTCAGGACAACACACATTATATTTCTTTCAACCGTTCTTTTGTTGATTCGATCATTGTCTTAAGCATCCCAACCTTTCTAAAGCTCGAACTCATGAACTGCTGTCCTTACATTCTCCCTCAAAATGTCTTGATAGACTTTTGAATTCATTCTTGCTTCGATGATTTCAGTGTTCAGGCCCTGAGGCATAATGCAGTGCTAAACCGTGATGCTCCTTCAACCATGCTTTACATCTGGGAAGAGGTTTTGGTGTTGGTGTTCAATGCTTTGCCTCTAATCAAAGCATTGTGGATATTTGCCAAAACATGTCAAGTGTCCCCATATGTGGAATATCCAGAACAAATATTAGACTTTTTCATTATTTATTTAATGATTGATTTATTGGCAGCAGCGGTTTCCATGTTTTATGAACACCATTCTTGTTCAATGTTTTTTTCTGATAGTACACATACAGTAAATAAACACTTTCACAGTTTGTATAGTTTTCTGGAGGTCTTCAGCTGTTATCCTTGGGATCTTTCTTGTAGATGAAGATCACCCCATATTTATGAGTTCTGTATTTTCCAAACCAGCTTATATAATGCAATTAATGTCGAACACGCAAAACATGCTCAAAATGCACTCATTTTGGCTTGATGAGAGATGTACGTGAGCCAAAGTTTGGGCTTGTGTTGCTCGTTTCCAGCCCGTTCTCATCCTTTGGCGTCATACATGTGACGCTTTGGACATTTCGTTGAAATCTTACGCACATGGCATCCTTTAGCATCAATATGAGACGCAGAACCCAAGGCGTCATACAGGTGACGCTCGTCTAAATCCAACGCACATGGCATCGTTTAGCGTGAATATGAGACGCAGATCCCAAGGCGTCATAACCGTACCCTACCCCAGACCTAAACCTACCCATAACAGTGCGTGTTATATTGACGCTAAAGGATGCCATGTGCGTAAGATTTCGACGAAATGTCATATGGCGTCACCTATATGATGCCAAAGGATGAGAATGCGTTGTCGTTTCCCTTAAGCCGGTTTTAGTTTCGCTAAATTAATTTGATTAGTTAATCACTTGGTGTTTATAATATATGTTATTTATGTGTATTTTAAGTTCCTGTTCTGTTCTGAACCGTCAAATTTAAAGTGATCGCTGTGGAGTGAGGGGAACTAAAATAAATGTTAATAGTGTTTATATTTTAGTTTATCTACCAATATTTTACATTTATTTCTGAATGTAATAACAACATTTGAATTATACACAGATGCGACTTATGCTTTTATTTTTTTTA